CTCGTTTTTTTTTTTTTATTTTTTTTATTTTTTTAAATTTTTTAAATTTTTTTTTTAAGTTTTTGATAATTATTTTTTTTTTAGCACGAGAATGAAGTACAATAACAAATATTAAGAAGAATGAAATTATGATTTTTATTACTACTTGGGGGAAAAAAAAGTAGGCCAATTTACACATTCACGGACATAAAATTTTAAATACAGTAGGCCAGTGCATGATGATTTTTTTTTCATAGGAATAATGGCCTAATCTATCTGAATAACGAGGTTTAGAAAAGGCGAAAATACTTGGCTCGCATAAACTCAATGCATCAATTTAGGAATTGAAGAGGGACCATCAAGAGTATGCTAATATGAACACAATGAAATGCAAAACTAAAAGTAATGCTACCATTCTATATATTTTTTTTTTTAATAGAGTGAAGGCCAAAAACACTGGGCCAATGTAAAGTCAGTGTGACCCACCCAGATCTAGAATTAAATCCATTACCAACCAATCGACAAACACCAATAGATTGGTAGTCCAGGTAAATATGACATAGGCCTAACAGATTAAAAACAAAAATTTTACCATAGACTTTAGACCTGAGATTCTACTGGCGAGGAGTTTTTAGGCTTTAAATCCCTGGTATTTGGTGGATATGATGGGTGAAATTACGGAGAAAATGCCTGTAACTTCATGCTTGGTTTGAAAATAATCCTATAGGATTAGTCCAACCACGAAATTGTTGTATGGATGCCCGAGCAGGTAACAGTATTTGGTGAGGCGTAAAAAATGAGAAGCACACATAAGAAACTCGGGAAATATGGTAGAAAACAAATATTTTAGTTTTATTTTGTGGAAAAAAATGCCCATTTCAGGAAACGCTACTTCGCACACAGTTACACTTGCACAAAGAAAGGAAGACATGACAAGTTCTATTACCAGTCTCTGACAACTTTAAAGTCTGGCAACCCTCTAAATTATTTTGGCGACTCTAACTTGGGTCGCGATCGATAGTTTGAAAACTAAGGCGAATTATAAGTCAATCGTGACGTCATCAATGTAACTCGCAATGTTATTTACCTATTCCCCAGGGTCCAATAATTTTTCTATTAGTGGACGATTGGCTGATTTTTTTTAGGTTCATGTGCAAAAAAAAATTCTTCATTTTTTTGTCACCGCAAAAACAACGCGCACCGTGGCGACATGTAGCATAATTATGCTTTGTAGCATAATTTAGACCCCTATAGCACTTGGTATTTCACCAAAACGTAAAATAATGTAGAATAATTTAGGTTGACGTTGAAAAACATTTTAAATAAAATTAGGAATATTTGTAATAAAATGTTAGTTCCTAAAACAAAGGTTGCTTTGTTTTACCACTCAATACGACAGAAATGGGTATATTATGGACATGACGTTTTTGTGCCACTAGTCGGGGTGTACTGCATTAGGTGTTGCAAAATATAGAGAAGTGCTCTTGTACTAAATGAGCAAACAACTTACAGTGCCACCAGATGGTCAGAACCTTCCATTGCACAGTTTACAGTGAACCACCAGCAAGCAAAATTATAATCTTTAGGATATTTCCCGCACGATTACAATCGTAACGGTACTGGTATGGTCTACAGGCGTTCGTGTTTCGTTCTTCCTTCTTCCTTAATAGTTTTTGTATAATTGTAAATGATATAGTTATACTTAGGCATATCTGAGGTCTTGCCTAGGCCTAAACAAGTGACTATGTGAGTGTATAAAAATTATGAATAAACACAAAATTGTGAAAGAATAAAGGAAGAAGGAAGAATAGGAAAGAGAATAGAGCGGCTGAAATATTTTCCGAAAATATACAATAGTAGTCAATATACTATTATTACATTACGTTTTTGTACAAACAGTTTTGGGCACTAATTGTCAGAGGTCTCGGTGCTATGCCTATTACTCTATTATTGAAATATACCATTTTAATAGATAAGATGAATTTAACATGTAATTTATACGTAAACAGTACATTAAATTTAAATATAAATGTAATAACGTTAACGAATAAATAACAATAATTAAATGTGTACATAGTATCACTACAACTATAAGAAGATTAATATTATTTTTAAAAATCTTATAATTAATTTTATATAGCCGGAATTAGTATTGACCTAGGCTACTATGGCTAATGACAGGTACGCTTTCTCCAATATAAAGGTTTTTTTTTATGACTGGAATGACCTACGAAACACGAACACCTATTAGACCATACCAGTACCGTTACGATTTTAATCGTGCGGGATATATCCTCAAGACACATTCTTATATATTATTATTAATATTATTTTTTAATTAATCAATTTAATAATTTATTTTAAATCGTTTAATTAGGCATTACATAAATTTTCATGTGTAATATATAATAATAGTGGAATTATGTAATTTATTAAAAATATGGTACAGTAGTATGTATATTATGTAACGATAAAAACAATACGATAAATACAAGAAGTATGACATTTAACAGTGAAGTAAAGATAGAAGGAAGAAAAAGAAAAGAAATTATTTATGGAGTGGCTCAAATATTTTCCGAAATTTGTATATAAATTGAGTATATTTTTAAACAAACGTTTGGGACAATAATCGTCAGAGCTACATGTCCATACGAGCCTAACCACTTTTCACTTTTGAATCGATAATAACTGGTTTTTGCATCAGGAGAATCAAATAGGGGAAAAATGGTTGGGCAAAATTTACGTGTAATAATGTACCGAATACTCAGTACGTCTGAGAACACATGATCTAGATGTTGTGGGTTCGGAACTCAAGTCCCAACCGAGAACGACGCAAAGTGTTCTTAAAACATACTGCAGTATTTGGCACATTATTACACGTCAAGTTGGGCAAACAATAATGTTTAAGTTAAGAATTATAATTGTGTTTAAAAACGATTGATATAATTATAGTACAGTACTAAATATTAAGTTAATTTATGATGATTTTGACTAAAAAAAGAAGTTTAGCGTTTCCATAATGGGAGAGAAAACATTTTAGTTCCAACTGATTGACAAAGGCTGAGGGTATGTATTTTTTGCTTATAGACGTCTTACTCTATTACTGTATTACTATATCCCATAATAGAAACCAAGCGGCTTTACGGGTTGATTGTTGATGACAAAAGTACTATATACGTGTATGTAAAGTACCAAAACTCATTAGTTTTAAAAATACGGATATATGGATATATATAATTTTATTATTAATCCACGGTGGCTGTATATATATCCATTTTTGGGGGCGTAGCATAATTTCACTCCAGCCAATAGCACAATTGATTTTTTCACCGTGGTCACGCTGCACTGAAGGCACTCCC